GGACAGGGTGCCAGGGGGGCCAGGACAGGAATTAGGGGAAAAGCACCATGCAGATGGGCCCTGGGTACAGAGACCATGGGACTGGTGGGCGTGACCTCTGCCAGCATGGGGTGGTACTGGCATCGCCATTCCCACGGTGTCCACGGTGTCCCTGTGTCCTGCCTCAGCCTAAGGTGGCCCTGGAGCCCCAGTTCCTAAGAGGTCTGTGCCACTCTGGTGTCCCCACAGGAGAAATTTGGGGATGATGCCAAAACCCGAGCTCAGGATGCCGCTGTACCTACAGAGCCACCCCCACTTAGCCCAGTCCCTTCTCCCTTCCAGCCCAGACCCTCGGCTTCGCTGGTGAGTCCTCAGGGGATGCCATGGCCCAACTCTGCTGTGCCCAGCCCCACACTGGTCCTGGCAGGCTGGTGTCCCCTGTCACCTGCAGGCACCCAGACCACCTGGATTTTTGTGGAGCCCCCCTGGATGCCAGCGGTGCTGTGGGACTGAGTGACACTGACCTGCCAGGGCTTGGGGACCACCAGTGCCACCACCTGGTACAAGGATGGGCGCCGCTGGGGGCAGCAGGGACATGACCGCCTCACTGTCACTGAGAATGGCACCTACGAGTGTAACAGACCTGGCACTGGGCTCAGCCTCCCCATGAGAGTCTTAGATGGTAAGAGGGGTTGAGCATCCCCAGCCTGACACCTGCGGGGACCCCAAGGGCTCTGGGTGGGCTGCGCTCCATGGGTCACCTGCTGTGTGACCAGAGCCCATCCCCTGCTTATGGGGACATCCCAAAGCATGCCAATGTGGAGGGGCCCCTGTATTGGAATTGGGGACCCCCAGTGTGCTGGCTGTGACCCACTGGGGGGTCCCTATTGGGTGGTGCCTTCAGGACCCTCCAAGCCCTCCTCCTGATGTGACAGGACCCACTTGTTCCCCAGACTGGCTGGTGCTGCAGGTGCCAGCAAGGCCACTGCTGGAGGGGGACACGGTGACACTGCACTGCCGGGACCGCTGGAACAACCGTGTCACCTGGCTGTCCTTCTACCATGAGGAGAAGCAGCTGGTGGAGCTCCGAAATGGGACAGAGCTGACCCTGTTCCCTCTGAAGCTGCACCACAGTGGGCGCTACCACTGCAAGGGTTGGCTGACAGGCAGTGGGTGGTGTCTGCACCAGTGACAGTGACAGTGCATGGTGAGAACCCCACAGCTTCCACCCCAAAATCCCCACAGCCCCTCCCCAAGGACTGGGGTTTGCTGTCCCCACTGCCTCCAATCTCCTGCCCTGAGCTGCTCTCTGTGCAGGTGCTGGAGAGTCCCCCTGAGCCATCCTTCAGCTCCCCCTGACCCTCAGCTGCCTCAGCACCCCCAGCCCCCTGCGGCCCC